TTTTTTTATCCGTTACTCTAGTATCCCATAGCACAAGCCTACAGTGCTTACTTTGGGGCTAGGCTAAATGGTGCGAGTATTGGAAATATTTATTATTATTTTATTTAATATAGTGATATAGCAAATTAACGGCTAGACCAACCAATTTTATTCAAGTTTCATATAATTATCTGTGATAATTAGGGAAGACGCGGACTGTACGATGAGACGATTTATTGAATGAAACACTATATATATTATATCAAAAATATATACACAGCACGAAACGAGCAAACATATAAGACGAAAGCAATTGACAGAATGACATTAGCTGTAAAAAAGGAATAGGTAAACAAAACAATTTAAAATGAATATAAAAAGGCTGTGGCGGCTCTCCAGCCCGCCGCCAATAATCTGCTTTATAACAGTATGAAACTGATATTATGCTGCTTCATCTGCCACAGGATTTTCTGTGCAAAAAATTTACAGCATCATTTGCAATTTAACTCTCATGCAAGATCCGAATAGGCTATTTCATAAATTTTCTCAGCAAGTACTGAAAGAGCCTTCAGGGCCGTTTTTTTATTCATGGTTAACCTTTATCTGTCTGGCTGAATGTCTATCAAAAGAAATGCCATTCAAAATAGGCACTATATTTTTTATTTTATGGTCAGATTGCAAAATGAAACTTCACAATTGTAGTGCAATTTACTCAGTTGGGATTGGAATTTCCCAGTGAATAAATTCGAGTTTCTTGGTGCAAGATGCACAAATGTTTGGTCGGCAAGCAAGTCAAATAAGTGGACTAAAAAATTTATACTAGACCAGACTTGAAATTATTTGACAACATTTTTTACAGAGGCTTGGGGCTTGGAACTTGTATTCGCATAACATAAATTACAAAGTCGCCAGTCGTCACAATAAAGTACTCGCTTTGTTATTTCGTCTTAAACAACTGAATGTTAAGTTTGATCTGCTCACATCTCGGATTGTATCTCAAACGCGAGATAAGCGACCTAAGGTCGATATCGTTCTAAAAGCGTGGTTTTGCGGAAGACACCCAACGCCAAATTGGCAGCAGCCCCGTCTAATCTGTAACCTATCGGCGCGGAGAGGACGCGCGCTTTTTTAATTCGCTTTTTTGGCGCCAATCACGAGCGGCAGCGGAGTATTTATTTTTAAGTTTTTAAAAAAAGATATTGGGTAAATTTGACGTAATCTTTTTCAGAGTTAAATTTTAAGAATGTTCAAGATAACCAACCTTGTTGTATGTATTTTTATCTAAGCTTCTGTCGTAGGTAGATATTACCCAAAAAATATATTCTAACTCACAAAAAATGATTTTTTGATGTTTCAAAGACGAATTTCCGTATACGAAAAGGTATAATCGGGTCCAATAATTTTGTAAAACTAACATCACATTACTTTGTGAAACTGTCTCAAAAAAGTTACTGTGACAAAATCCAAAAGCAACGAATACCCATATAGATAAGCACTTACAAATCTTTAAAGGCGAGTACAAATATTCACACTTTCGCATGCTTGTTATAAATAAATATTTCCAACACTCACACAACTTAGCCTTGCCCCAAAGTAAGCACTGTAAGGTTTGTGTTATGGGATACTAGGGTAATGGATAGCATACATATACATAAAAGGAATAAGCCATTTGAACATTATGTTCTAAAATCAAATCAAATAGCGCGTGCTTTCGCGACTTCCTGTTACACACTTCCGTTCGATTCACGAAATCTCTCCTACAAATTGCAGGAAAGCGAGAGGAAAGATGTTATACATAAAAAAATATTTGCATTACCCAAACAAAATGTACTATTTTGTACCACACATAATCTATCGGCATGTACAAAGCATTCGTTGCTTAACCCGTGGATGTTGTGAGCGGTCACTGATGCGTGTAAGGTGCGGCAGCTGCGTGTGACGCGGCTCGACACTGCCGCATCGGAGGGCTCGCTGATTTATGATATTATTTCGCGAAATGCAACAAATTATGTGCAGGGCAATTTGCTAAAAGACATATTTGTTGCACTGCTCACGTCGCCATTACTTTGCCTAATGGTGTAGCTGTATGATTCTTCGGAGCGATTACGAAATTTGCAAATCGAATATGGAGAATAAAGTGGTTTGTCAATTGTTTGACACGATTTTTTGTTTTATTTGCTGATTTTTTGATGCTTGATGCTAAGGCCGTGTAGTTTCGTATATAGTTAAAATACTATAGATATTTTTTTTGGCAAAATTTGACATATCCTACTATGAGTTTTACATGACATTGACTAATAATCGAATTTAACTATGTATCAAACAACGCGGTCTTAGAAACGTTATTTGGAGTTAATATAATAAATGTCTAGGTATTTCTGCATTGAAAATTGTAAAGTTAATAGAATGAATGTTTTAAGATTAAAGACCCTGCGAAAATCATACAGCGGGCGAATATAAAAGAAAGGTTATTAATGAAAGCACCTATCAGTCTCTGATACTTAAATCAAAACCACCTTAATGTTTTTTTTCTAGTAAACTTTTCTTTAGATTTAAACATCTAGCAGTTAAATGCTTAAAAATAAAATAGAATCATCACCTTAATGTTTTTTTTTCATTACCAACGGGTCGCATTTGTTCGCGATGTTGCAACGCTTTATAAGAACAATCCCTTACAAACACGAAACTACAAAATGAGCCTATCGGTGCGTAAATTAAGGATCAGACGCCATTCATTCGAGGTACGAGGCTGAATAAAAAAAATCTAAAGAAAATACATTGGCCCCGCGTATCTAGATGTCCCGCTGCGGTGTTCGCATTGTTCTTAGACAAACACTTTCATTGTTGTTGACGAAAAAGTTCCATTATGCTATTTTATTTTTAGTAAATCAGAAACGATTTCTATAGTACACATTAAATGATTAAATGACGCTTGAATTATTTCGGATCCAAGTTTAAAATTAGAACTTACTAACGATCGATCCTTTGGTTGATACAGTTTGACAATGGCGTGCCTATTTGTAAAAAAAACAAGATCGTCTTAGAGAAAATGAGAAAATGGTTTCATAGCAGTGCCCTTAACTATTTCGTTCGTCTAATGTGTTTTTTCGTTATTTATTGTTTATATTTGTTTTGACTAAAATGATGAATGGGATATTTGATTAAAAGGCAGACGAAATTCTTTTTCAATCAGTTTTTAGTTACAGGGAGAAGTTCTATGTATAAAATATAAAGGAATTTTCTTATTGATACTGGAATAAATATCTCAACTTGCGTGAATAGCAGTTTTGGAAAACTTTTATATCAATTATCAAATGTTTCTTCATCTTGGGTCATTTCGTTGGTTGATAAGTATTAATGTTAAGTCTATTCATCAACCACGCTAAAACATTAATAAACAAAAAAAAACATCAAGCAAAAAGGTCCTGAGAAAAAAATCGACAACTCAATCAAAAAATCGGACTAACCAGCCGCATCTAAAAGCCGTGACATGGTATCGCGAAATCTCACAATGTGCAAGAACGACCGTGAAATTAGCCCGCGCGCAAATTAGGGCCAACTCATTCTTCGGCTTGAGCGGTGTGACGAACGCCGCGTGTCCGCCATTGTTGGCGCGAACAGTGCACGGGCGCGTTTTGTTGATTCTGCGAGTTACGCCGTTACGCCGGCCGGCAGCCGATTATGATGCAACTTAATTGCGGGTGACAGTTTCGCCATTATTCGACCCGCGCTATATTTGTTTGTGACTTGTGTACGATTCCGTGTAATGATTGACGGTTATCAATAATTAATGCTTACTGTTAGTATTGATAGGTTACAGAGGGAGTTGACTCCTTAATTATGTATTTATAGTGAAATATCAGTTGACTTGCTTCCGCTGATATAATAATGTTTGTAATGTTTTTGCTATAGAATAGACATTTTTAATTATTTAAATTTTGATTCACACAACTTTTTTTAGACACTGGTAGGTAAATATTTCTCATATATTTATGTTTCTTAGCATATCTTATTGGTATAATACATGCATTACTCTTACTTATCTAACACAAGATAATAAAGGCAAGTTTATTTTCTACATGTTCTCTACTAGGACGCTTATCTTGAAATGAAATAACTCCACCCTCAATTTACCAAATAAATTAAGAAACCTGTCAGCATATAAGTCTTCTCCAATTAGAAAGTGCCAAAAATGAGATGAATAGAGCTCGCATAAAAAATTAAGAGCCTTTTCTGCTTAACCGACATACCTTTTACGCCCTACCCGAAGTATACCTAAAGTCGTGAACATAAACTTTGGACAGGTCGGCAGTAAAGCTGATCCGCGCTTTACGAGGCGGTTCACGAGGATACGCCACTGATCACTTATTACCGTAAATATGGAGAAAACTGCGGATTCTGTGTTTTATCACGGGAACAACAATATTTTTAAAAAACTAAATGGTGAAATTCAAAACCCGAATATAGATAAGTCTCTCATTTCAAAAGCTTATTTTATAATTTTAATGTACATGAAATAAGGTTTGTTCAATATTAAGACTTTTTTAAGAGCACCAAAGAAAGAATACTCGTATATCGATCGGTAAACTACATTCACAAACGTACGTGCTCCGTTAATTTCCCCGGATTTGCAAACGCGTAATAATCCCATTATCCCAGATTTCCGATGTCCAATTTTAAATCCTTTTAGCGGCGAACAATTAATGGCATTATACGCTACCAAATTCCGTAACACAAAAAAACATTATTGCAAAAAACTAAAAACTAAATTTAAAAAAAGAATGTAACCAAGGAGGTTATTCCAAAAATCACTTTCTCCGATCGCGTGGCGTATCATCTTTCATTACAATGAAACAATACAGATACGCTGTGTGTGATTGTGGGCGTAGCGTTGTTGTGTGCGTTTACGCTAGTGTGCGTTCCACCCTAGGGTTGTCTGCGAGCGAGGCCCCGCCCATTCGGATGGTCACACGGCTGACTTGGAATCAGATGGTCGGGCAGTCGCTACCCAGCCGTGTCGTGAACGGTTCGCTAGCTCACGCCACTCAATACTTAGCCCATCCGTACATTACGCGGTACACTGCTCGGAAACCGTTTAGAAACTTGACAAATTAAAAGTATTTTTAGGCTCGCACGCGCAACTGGTCAACTGTGAAAGTATGTTTGAAGTGGTTATGTAATTTTTTTTGTTGTATGATCTCAGTGATAAAGGAACGCTGTTTTGTGTTTTTGAAACGCGCCGCGGGTTTTCGGTATGTTGTGTCTTTTTATGGATTTTTAATTATGATTTAAAGTCGGGTTATGTTGACTAACATAAAGAAACAGATAAGCAATACACATAAGTATTCTACTAATTTGTTTAAATAATAGATTTACTATGATAAATTTTATTTATACTACGGGTGGCTACGATCCGTAGGCCTACGCTACGAAAACGCGGAACTATTGTAGATATAGCGGAAATAATAGAAAAGTCGTCAAAAACATCACAAACATTAACGTATACTGATCAAGATTTATATATGACAGTTGAAAGGAAATGTACAGTATTATACAAGCGCTGAATATTTTTTTGAATAAAATAAAATTTAATAACATTCTAACATTGAAAAATATACGTTTTATGAAAGAGTTCAGAAAACATATGAATATTGATAATTTTAATACAAATACTGTATTGCATTGAACAATTTTCATCTTGTAATGACTAACCCGGATGAGTGTATTAATAAAATTTATATCAGAACATTATAACAGAACATGGGAAAATTTTAAATATTGGTTATTCGATTATATTTCATTTACATCTTGAATCCATTTATTAAGGATTCGTAGAGAGATAAATTGTTAAATATTATCTCATAACCTGCAACAATGTCTACCCTGTCCGAGACTATTATTGACTATGTGAAAAAAATACGTAGTTAAAAGTGTATAATGTAATTTAAAGCACATTGTCTTTCCATTTACTCCTAATTGAGCATTTATGTAAATTTATTCTAGTTTTAAAAACGGAAAAGGAAATATGAAATAAACAAAAATAAGTGAAAACAAGCGTAAAAAAAGTATCTATTAAAGTACCATACATTTATATTTTTTTTACTTAGAAATAAATGCCACAATTTGCTCGTTTACCTGTGATCCCTTGGTCGAAATTTCCTCCCATGTCAGTAACATGATATTTTTGTTTGGGGCTAGTTTATCCGGTTTTTTGCTAGTGTAATTTAATCATTAAATTTAATATCTATTGTCGGAGATAATTTGTAAAAGTAAACATTTGGTCGCATTGTAAAATACGGCCATACCATTTTGCAACATATTAAATTTCTTTACAACCTAATTTTTTTTTCTTTTAAAAAAGAGAATATTGTTAGTGAAATTTTTATATTAACGGTCTGTGTTCGTTAAAGTTACAAATATCAATATTACTTTTATTTATAAAATTGTTAAGCGCATAATAAGTTACAGCTTTAAAAAAATACTTAAAAAAATATTAAAAGCAATTTTAAAAATGTCTCCTCCAATTTTAAAAATGTCTAAATCCTGGCATGAGTATCAATATTTTACCATTTTTTCATTATTAAGACACTCAAAAATCAAATCAAATATTTTATTTGTACAAATACAGTTTACAAAATGTCTTCTTATATAGAATATGTACATGTGTTTAGCCTACTAGCAAACACTAAAATATTTTAGACACAGTTATTTTCTACATTGTTCACAAAAATTAAGAACGTCAATAAAATAAAATAAATTGTACATATGGTTAAAATAATTATAACATTTATTTAACTACGAACTCGGTTAAATAAGTGCTAAACATTGTAAGTATCATGGTCATCTCCTTTGCATCATTTAAATAGATTATAATGTAGGTATCTTATTTACGTAGGTAAAAATTTTGTATTAAGTATATTAAATTCTAAATGGTTACTTGTTAAATATATCATGGTTAAGCATATTTTTTGCACCGAATTTTTGTAACTTGCCGAGTATTTTAATTAAAATATATAAAAAAAAGCGCAGAATAAAATAGACATAAATATTGCGTCGAACATAAAGAGAAAAATCTAATTTAAGTATTTTGCGAATTTCTTTAGGAAAAATTAACCTACTTTTAACTAATTTTATTTTTCAAAAAATATTTAGCCAAGACTATAAAATGAAAATACAAACTAAAGCTAGGATAAAATAAAAAGGAAAGAAAAATAATAAAAAACTTGAAATTAAGACATATGAGCAAGATGATGAAAACACATTTACGTTATTCTGGGTTAACCGTTGAGAATCGTATCTTTCATGTTGCCGTATAATAGGAGCCGTGCCATTGTCAAACAGCGTAAGTACAAATTCGTAATTTTGTTAAATGGAGACCTCGAGTACTATTGTTGGGTGCAAATAATTTCTGCGGTAAGCGATACGGATGCACAATAGGCGACGTTGATGTGGGACGGCCAATTTTGAAGAAGATATCTGGGTACCTACAAATAGTCCGATGCCACGGTTTTTTTTTCTATTCTGTCATCTAATTTTATAATTTTTGTCGTAATAGACAAAAATTTCTTGCCTTTTTTAATCATAGATCGGTTTGGAAATTTCTGGATAAAGAAAAAATATTTTTGTGTGAACTATATTAGTGTTCAGAAAAATGAAAAAAACATTTGTGATAGTTATGTCTTAACAGTTACAAAATATATTGTAACTGAGTAGCTACGAAATATATATTAACTGTCCAAACCTTAGGTACTTTTAATGTCGATTGAGGTATATATGAAGTTGTAGATAAAAATTATAAAATCTTAAAATTTGTCCGTCTATGTGTATGTGTATGTTTATTAAATTATGCAGTTTTAAATAATTTTTATGCATCTTTCAAAATATATGTTTCTATTAATATTCTGACTACAGCTTATTTAATTCTTTGACAATTAAATGTAAACGACAAATAGGTAAAAATATGTAAACGACAAATAGGTAAATATAATAACAAACATAAAAGAAACATTTAGCAAAAAAGCCCTCAAACATTTCGGCATGTCAAAGTTACACATAATTCAACAAATATCGTCAAAGGGAATAAAAATCAATAAATCGATAATAGTATGTGTCCAAAACGCGCCGACAAAGTGTTGCGACACTGAAACACCATTGAAATGTAACAGGCAACTATTATTTATACTTGAAAGCGGCTTTTGGAGTGTTGACATCCTTATTATGTAACAACTCCCTAGGGTGCGTTGGTCTCGCATCGCCAATTTTTTTTCTCCAGTGTATTAATGACATTTTTTTGACAAAGAAAGAGACATTACCATTGACATTGGTGCACGAGTTCTCACATGCTGTCGTTACACGGTGCTAAATGCGATTTTGTTACTATACAATAATTGACACCCTTGACATCAAAACTGCTAAGTAAAAAAATAACAAAAAGCCTAACATAGTTGAGTGTATTAATTTAAATTTGGAATATGGATAGTTCAACTTTATCTATGGATGGCCTGTTGATTTTAAGAATTCTACTTATCAAAGCTCTGCGTTAAAAAGTCACACACGCAAACGACTAACGTATTATGTTAATCCAAAGTGCAGTTATATCAACTCCCAGTGTTACGTTACCTAAGTATTATTAGTGCTTATAAAAATAATATCATAATATAATCTGTGACAGGCTCAAAATAACACCTCTTTGGTCTCAAAAGCCTCACCCTTCCGCCGATGAGGCTTAATAAGGATTAAGATAAAACCTTTTTTGAAGTAAAAAGCTTTCGACGTATCTCGCTTATAGCATTATTTTTTATTTTTTCGATGGTGACCTGTAAGGTTTTAGACGACCGAAAGAATAAAATCCTTTGATTTGAAGAGTTTGTTATTAATGGGTTAGATATGAATTTAAAAAAGACCTCTAATTGGTGAGATTATTAGTTGGTTGGAACGTACTAAGCAGATATTAATAAGATTGTGCATATCTATGAAATATTTAAGAAATGTAATGTAAAACCACAGAAATAAATCTTAATTTATTTCTGCGTGTATGTAAACTACTATTTTTTTAAATGAATTAAAAAATAAATTTGCTAATTCTCTAGACACGAAAAAGAACTAAATTTTATCTTTGAACTTCTGTTTGTGATATCATGATATAACTTTCCTGGATATTTTCTGATTTCCACTACAAAAGTGCTTTTAGGTCCACATGCATCAATTTACTAAATCTAAATCTCAATAAATATAAATCTCAATTTAAAATAAATACTAAATCCCAATTTAACAAAAACAAGATTTAGCCCGTACAATAATGTCAAATCGACGTTTTGACGTTTTTCTACAGGTTAATAAAGCTAGTTTAAGTTGAGTCGAGATTTAGCAAATAGCTGCAAGCAGTATTGTCAAATTATCATTTTATAAACTTCTGTGTCTATATCTTTTTAAATAACATACATTTCCACAGGTTTCACTATTTAGACATCGAAATTAGAATATTGTTATTTTTAATTTTCTACTCTCAAAAGAGTATCGGAGCTTCTGCACTGTCTATTGTAATGTTAATTTATTTCTTCAAGTCTTAAAATAAGCGTTTCTTGCAGCTTCTGGGTTGTCTACGGTGTTGTTTAGTTGCGGGCGGTCATTGTTCTGACAGGGTGTAGGTGAAGACGTCGTGCTCTGTGCGTCACTATACGGTCACTATTGCGCCGTTGATTTATAATGCCGACATAACACACATACCGTAACCTACCGGTTGCCGAATCACCGTGCTGTACCGATAGCACAGGAATCGGGATGTGTAATGAGCTTAGAGTGTACAAAAATATCTTATTTTTTTTGACAAATATGCTTAGGTATCATGCGAATTCTAGGTTCTTTGATTTTTGCCAAAAATTATCATCAGTACGTAAAATGTGTGTGAGGTTTTAGCTATAAGATTTTAATTTTAGATGTAAAATATATATATATATATATATATATATATATATATATGTACTCTGTAAATATTATTAAAAAAAAGTTTTTTGATAGGCAAGATTTTTGTGTGGTTCAAATTCGACTATATTATATTTTTAAGATATTAATCTTATTTTTATATTTACAAAAGTTTTGGTTAGATAGAAATGCGATAAAATAGATTTGGGTTTTTGCTGCACAAGCGAAAATAAGTATTATATTTTCATATAATAACATATAATGTATCTACTACGTCATAATCTACATATTAAAAAATACAGACTACATTCTTTAACAACTGATAAAGTGT